CATAAAAAAGTTTAAAGCGTTACTAAACCCACAACAGTAAAATCAGTCTGTATATGCAAAAAAGCATGCTTGTTATACTCACTTTGGAACCTAAGGGGTTAATCCTCTGCATGGTTTAAAAATGCTGCTTGATCCTGACTTCTCTGATACTCCCCTTCTTCCAGTGTCTCCCTCTTATCACCTGATAAGACATATCATGTGGAGACACTGCACATGCTCAGTTTAGTGTGTATTGCTAGAGAGTTTTATTTTCTTTCGAGAGTGCATGTGATCAGCAAAGGCCAATCAGCACTGTCCAGACAGAGGTCAGGGGTTTTGCATCTTCCTAAAGCAGAAAGAAAACTCCTCCTGCAAGCTTTAACCAGTGCTCTGCTGAACACTAATAGAAGTCACAAGACTGCTTTAACTCGAAAGAGCAGGGCCCTCGAACCCCTCGTGTATTGTATTGTTTCTGTCTTGTCTTATGTTCTGTCCCCCTTGCTATTGTACAGCGCTGAGCAAACCCTTTGGCGCTATATAAATACTGTATAATAATAATAATAAAAACTGCTGATGAGAAAAGGTATTTAGCAGTTTATATTTACTAAAATAATTGCATTTCCATGTTCTGTGTACTGTGGGAGACCCGACAGAGTGAATTTAGGGTCCTGGGCTTAGTAACACTTTAAGTACATGGATTGAAAAGACTAAAATTTATCTTGCTTTGCAGCCACTGAGACAAAACAAAATATATATATATATATATATATATACACACACACACAGATATATATTACATCTTTGCCTTATATTCCAAACCCACGACCTGCGTCCGAATTAATGGTCACCTGTCGGATGCCTTCTCCACCAGACAAAGTTGCCCTCTATCTCCCCTTATTTTTGTTCTCACCCTGGAACCTTTTTTGCGACGACTAAGATCCAATGCCAACATATCCAGCGTACAAGTCGCAGGGCATACACACCAGATTGCAGAATTTGCGGATGACGTCCTTTTATTGTTAACTGAACCCAAGTTATCAATTCCTAACCTACTGAAAGATTTTGCTCATTATAATCCAACTTGCAAATTAATTTTTCTAAATCGAACGCCCTCAATATATCTTTACCCCAAACAGCAGTGGACGCATGCTAATTACGCTATCCGTTTTCCTGGTAAGCAAAGTCCATCACGAACCTAGGTATACAACTTCCACGACACATATCAGACCATTATGACCTGAACTACTTACCTGTTTTAAGTAATATTAAACACGTTCTTCAGTCTTGGCATAGAAGCTTTTTCTCTTGGTTTGGTAGAGCAGCCATTATTAAGATGAACTTCCTACCCCGCCTTCTATATACAATGTTGGCGATCCCAATTAATTTACCAAAATCTTTATTGCATACAGAAGAGCATGTACTGACTTTATTTGGGGCAAGAAATGCCTCAACGGAGGCATCGGGCTCCCCGAATTTACAAATACTACTTAGCATGCCATTTGACACGCATAGTAGACTGGAATGTATATGAGAACACAAAGGCTTGGGTCAAACTAGAAAATGCTGGAGCCCATACGCCCCTACTTGTAGCCCCATGGCTACCCCGACCTCACTCCCTCTGAGAATTTAAAGACCACCCTTTTGTGGGCCATCCTTACACTGTTTCTACAGGGCCTGCAGAACCTTTGCACTCTCCCTGTCTCCTGTACCTATCACCCCACTCCAATACAACCCAGATTTTTATAGGACCTATCCCCCAATTTTCTCTCTGATTGCTGGCCATATAAACGCATTGCTGCGGAACATTTTTTCCACAAAGAGACCCTGTTGACCTATCAATGGCTAAAGGTTAAAATGATCAATTAATTATTTCCTTTTTGGACATATGTCCAATTGCGGCACTTTTTTCATAACCGAATACCCCCAGTTACTGGTCCAGACCTCACATGCCATTTGAAGCTATCTGTTCTAGATCAACACCACAACAACATATGATCTCTACAATCTACTCCCTTCTGCACCCTAAACTTCACCGAAGTCCGGTAGACCATGTCAGCAATGGGAACAGCACCTGTCTCTAGATTTTTCCGAAGACGAATGGGAACGTGTCCTGTTTCATCTACACAAAGGATCTGTGAATGTGAGTACACAAGAAACAGGATACAAATTATTTTCGGCCTGGTACAGAACCCCTGAGCTCCTTCACAAAATCTCCCGCTCTCTTTCCCCCCTTTGCTGGAGATGCGATTCTGTACTAGGCTCTCTATTACATATTTGGTGGTTATGCCCAAAATTACAACCATTTTGGAAAAAGGTACACGATCTTGCTGCTAAAATTGCTACATACACCCTGTATTATACACCAGCACAATATCTCGTACATCATTTGTCCCTCCCTCGCTCTGTATACTATAAATATCTAGTTATGCACTTAGTAAATGCAGCCAGATGCTGCATTCCATTAAGATGGAATGCAGAGCACCCCCCGACCATTGCAGAATGGTTCCAACATATCCAACACACAGCCGAAATGGAGGAGCTTATCAACATAACGCATGACACTCTAACTAAATTTACTCACACGTGGGCTTGCTGGCTACATTATTTAGACTCAGCGGACTATCAGCGAGACCAATCTACACACAACTAGGGGGACAAGCGACCGACCGCTTGATGTTCTGAACATTCTTTCCCCACAGGAGCAGGTGGATTTGTCTCCTTTCCATACTTATTTCCATTTGTCCAATCTCATTCTCACCCCTCTCCACCCCCCCCCCCCCCACCACTGGGTAAAAACACAGAATTAAATTCTTGCTGTATAATGAAAAAGTAGGCTCATGTTCTTGCTTTAACTGTTCCCCTTGACAGGGGATTTACACCTTTAATGTTGTTTGAATATTTTACTGTCTTTCCCCCCCTCTTTTTTTTCTTTCGTTACATGATCTCCTTTGCTCATATGCTTAGAGCAAAATAAGTCACCTTCTGGTTGATTGTTCAAGTGACAATTTGATTATGTTAAATTCTTGTTTTCTTCATCTTCTAGGGAAGCATGTTGCCTCCCTTTTTGTTACCGCTGTATGATCGTTATGTGATACCGCTGTACATGTCTGAACCGTTGTACATTTGAAACTGAATAAAATCCTTGAAATATATATATGCAAAGACAAAGCTTTGCTAAATAAACAAGAATGTCCTGTTTCTGTGCTCTCATGTGTTGCCACAAAAGGCTGACCCCTTTTTCCTTTCTCACAGTCTACCCAACTGACATATGCACAAAAATCTTATGTGAGATAGGATCATTTGCCTAATTTGCCAAGGTGACCCCAGAAATGTCAGCACTAATTATCTAATACTTTATTAAATTCTGATTGCTTGTAAGAGACCATTATTCTAAGTCATCACATGGGATCATATGCATCTACTTCATCATTAGTACCAGAACACAGATTACATTTATATTTATATTGACTTCTAAAATAAAATTGCTTCTTAACAAGGAGAAATTTTTTTTTATATTTCTATTTTTTGTTCTATTTTTCAATTTGGCACAGTTCAGCAACTGCCATTTGACAGTTAAGGGTAAAGAAAGGATAATTTTATCATACACAGTTTTTATATCATAGTTTGTCAAGTGAACAACTGGATGATTCCTATTCCTGGGTTCAAGAAGAAAAGATATATTTAATGAAGGACAGTTATCCTTAATCTATGCCTTAATACGTTAAGGCATACATCATGAGCACTTTGACTCACCCATAAAGGGCTTTACGAAGACCTCTCTGAAAGAGACATATTTGCTGACCTCATAATTTTGCAATTAGTGAGTTTTAGATAGCACTTGCTTTGACTAAACTTTAGATACTTGAAATATAGCTATTCATAGGTAATGCCCCTTTAACACTTTTGTTGCCATGAACATATGGCTTGTGTCAGAACAAGACTGCATCCAGCTTGCCAGATCAGTAATCCTTACGCAAGTCCATGGAATTTTCCCTTCTGGTGGCTTCAGCAACCATAAACCTGTACCGTAAGTCTTTCCTAGACTGACCCCATGGATGAACACAGGAATGCTCTGTACATGCTGTCATTCATAATGGAAGACCTAGTAAAGATCAGTCACCATTTTTGCTATGTCTCCTGTTTGTGAATGAACACATAGTGCTCCATACTGAGCATTCTGGTGTTCATTGCAGTCTGCAGGTCAAGTCATTGTCAACATCAGAAGAGAAGGAAGTTTGTTCGAGCAGTTTGTTCAGGCAGACCCAATGACCGGTTGGTTAGCCACAGACATCAGTATCTCAACCTGGAACCATCAGTGATGGTAACCCCTAATTGCAGGGCTGCTTTGAATTGAAAGCTTTCTGAGCACTAGCTCAATTATTAAAGTGTTACTAAACCCACAACAGTAAAATCAGCCTGTGGAACCTAAGGGGTTAACCTTCTGAATTGTGTAAAAAGGCAGTCTTCTCCTTTCTCCTCTGTTCCTCCCCTTTTTCAAGCGACCACCTCTTATCTCCTGATAAGACAGGCTGAACCATAGGCATTTTGCACATGCTGAGTTTGGTGTGTATTGCTAGAGAGTTTTTTTTTGTTTCTTGCGAGAGCGCATGTGATCCGCACAGGGCCAATCAGCACTGGTCAGACAGAGGTCAGGGGTTTTGCATCCTCCTAGAGCAGAAAGAAAACTCATCCTACAAGCTTTAGCTAGTGCTGGGGTGGACACTGGTAGAATCCATAAGACTCCTCTAACTGCTGAAAAGGTATTTAGCAGTTTATATTTACTAAAATAATAGCATTTACATATTCTTTGTACTGTGGGAGACCTGATATAGTGGATGCAGGGTCCTGGGTTTAGTAACACTTTAAGACACATTAATACGATTGGTGAATAGGCTTTCTGGTCTTTGACTTGCATTTTAAAATATTTTAGCAAGCCACTACATTGACTTTCATATTATGACTTTCATATTATTTTAGGCTTTTTGTTTATCTACATATTGGAGAAAAAGTGTTTGTCTTACCTCTTTATCAAGTGTCTGATATCCACATAATGTGTTCTTCACTCCACCAGAATCCTGAAAGCAAAATGACAGTTCAAAGTTAGACAGGTTAATTAATTTCATAGTGTAATGTGCCTCACCAACTCTGAGGTTGACAACAGGGAACTGAAACATTAACATTTTATTAATAAACTGCTAACACTTTAGAAAGCAATGCCCAAAATGTTTTTCAGTCACACACATAATGAAAAATGCCAAAGAAACAATATGAGTAAATGTTCAGTAAGCTTTATTCAAAGGCGCTTAACTGCCAAATGTCTAAGAGAAATGCTGACAAGGTAACACAATTTTCCAATTATTTGACTGCTGAGAACCAATGCATAACATAGATTATATTACACAATGTACTTACACAGGGCTTAGATAACAAATAATTAAGATCAAGTATAAGGGAAAACAGTGGAAAACCACAACTCTATGATGGAGAAGAGCGGAGATTTCAATGGCTGTAGAGATGCTGACAGCTGACCAGAGGTAAGTAAAGAGGGGACGGGGGGGGGGGGGGGGGGGCTGTCTGCACAGGCTAAGTACAACATAGTGATGATGTCATTGCTACATTTACAAGGTAATAACTGGGTTTACAAAGGCGTTTGGTGCAAACACTGGTATTTTCTTCCCTTGTGCTTATTGAGAAATATAGTTCAAGAACTGTTTTTTGTGTTTGGAGCTCAGCTTGAATGCATTACAAGATCTTGCTGTATCTTCAGTCTTAACAGTTTTAATTAATTGAAGCTAGTGATCAGTTGTTCCTATAACTGAATAGAAGACCTTTATACAATGCCAACTGACTATGGTCATATGGTCAAGAAGAGTATACCCAAATATCATTGCATAGACTACAATTTGTCACCTTCTTTAGCTCTTTCTGCTGATCCTCTTAAGTACTGAAGATCTATTCTTCTGTCTTATTATTAATTATTTGAAGAAAAACACCAAATAGGTTTTTTTAATTCTACCTAATTGCTCCCGATGAAAGGACTTGTTTTCTTTTTATGAAGAGAACACAAAGTAAGTTAATAACCTCATGGCCTGACCTATCACACTGTTGCCCCAATCCAGGGATGACAAGGAGGTCATGCCTTGATGAGGAGGCTCTGCTAGACTTTGCTGACAGGATACAAAAGATCAAGCACTATGTTGGGAGATTTTTTTAACAATTGTGTGTTTCTCTAGCTTTCTGTGCCTTTCAGTAACTTATTTCTTTACTTCAAAGTGTCGGTCCTGGCTACATTCTGACAGGATTACATTATTGTCTACCTGATCAGATCGACATCAAAAAGTAATACAGGTGAAGTTCAATTTATAGGAGTGAAGTTGTAATAAAAAAGAAAAGTCAAAGCTTTAATACAAAGAGAGAAAAAAAGAAATGTTTTAAATCAAGACATGAAATTATAGATGAAAATGACTGCTCTCATATGAACTGTGACTTGGCCAATGAAGGACAATAAGAACCAATCAGCTATAGGCTTATATATGAAAGACATATATAGTTACATAGTTAGTCTGGCTGAAAAAAGACAAAAGTCCGTCCAGTTCAACCATTAAAAAAAAAAAAAAAAATATAATCCTATACCCACAGTTGACCCAGAGGAAGGCAAAAAAATCAGCAAAGCATGATCCAATTTGCTCCTGCATGAAAAAATTCCTTCCTGATCCCTCGAGAGGCAATCGGATATTCCCTGGATCAACTTTACCTATAAATGTTAGTATCCAGTTATATTCTGTGTATCTAAGAAATAATCCAGGCCTTTTTTAAAGCAATCCACTGAGCTGGTCAGAACCAACTCTTGATGGAGTCTATTCCACATTTTCACAGCTCTCACTGTGAAGAAACCTTCCGTGTTTGGAGATTAAATTTCTTTTCCCCCAGATGTAAAGAGTGCCCCCTTGTCCTCTGTGATGACCTCAGGGTGAATAACTCTACAAGACCTACCTTTAAATCTACTATCTGATGTTAAAAACTTGAAAATAATGATTTTGAAGTGCTTACTTTCCTTTAAAGGAGAATTTCACTTTTTTGAAAAAATGAATATAACCTAAATAAATTTCTATGCAAGCCAATATGCAATTACATTTATCTTTTTATTCTAATTTCAATTTACACCCAACAATGACATTATAACACTACAAAAAAAAAATCAAATTACAACTGTGGCAACAGTACTCTGCAAACAAAAATTCCCGTTCTAATTTCTATGTACCTTTAATTGGCTGACTACCTTCCCAGGAGTCAGCAGTGAGCTTAGACTGCATATTACTCTGTAGCTTCATTCAGCTGTTTGAAGAGAGAAAAGGAAGCCCTGTTTAATCTCCAAGTTACTCTTGTCATTGCTTGTACAGTGCTAAGGCCGGGTTCACTCCGATGCGCTGCGGTTTGGGTGCAGCAAGATTTATGTACGTTTTACATGCAGTTTTAGCTGCATTCTTGTTGACCATGCATTTTCATTAAGCACATCAAAGTCCCGCATGCTGCATCTTTGATGCGTTTCAGAAAATTAACTGTCTAAAAGAAGTCATGTGCACCTAAAACCACATATAAAATGTGAATACAATCAAGCTGCACCCAAATCACAGTGCACCTTTTTGAATCAGGCCTAAGGACTGTCTCCCTGCCCATATGTGATATTTCTGGGCCAATCACTAAGCGCCAGTGCTATCATATGAAAGAAAGGAGAGCAAGTCACATGCTTCTCCTTATCCAAGTTGTGTCTGCTGGGGTAGGAGGCTTTAAATCAGATCTGTTGCTTTGCCCTGCATGAGCTAAGTACAGGTTTTCTTGAAAATGCACCTGTGCCCAGACTATGAACACTAAGTTATTTAGATATTCTTTACAAGCAGGAAAAGAACGATAAAACAAGCCAATCCCTGATCTCTCTAGCTGCTTAAATGTGAAAGCACTGGGATGATGTATACATAAGTGTTGCACTCACAAATGCTCCACAGCAAAGTGGCATATCAGGGTCACTAGGGGAACCTGGTACAAATCATGAACAAGAACTTCCAAGCTGCTCAGGTAAGAACACAGCAACAGGCACAGAATATTGTACTAAATGTTAAAAACAACTTCAATGGTAAAATACAATGGTTTCACCCACATATAGAAGTAGACAGCACTTATCAAAGTCTCTGAACAATGTCACTAGGCTTACTGTGACCAGCGGTCAGACTAGAATCCAGACCAGCCTTTCTCAACCAGGGTGCCAAGGCACCCTGGGGTGCCTTGAGGTTTCTTCAAGGGTGACCTGGCAAAATCTCTAAAAATTGCCCAGAACTTGTAAACAAGCCAGTGGGTTGAACAAGCCTGCCTTTTAGCTACACAAAGCCACAGGTTTTCATTGTGCAACATTACGAACTTCTAGCCTCTGGCGTTCTGACAACCAATGACATCATCAGTTATAAGGAGGATGTCAGCTACCTGCAGAGCATCCTAGTTTGACCCTCCCCTGCCCCTCTCCATCATTGCTGGGGTCACATTAGCTTAGTGATGGAGAAAAACTGAGGGAGAAAAGAAACACTGGAATACTAGTCTACTAGTCAGTACCAGTGTGCAAAAGTGTATTTGCTTTGGAAGAATAAATCACCTCTAATGTTGGGTGTCCTACATGTGTGGATGTTGCTGTGTTATATAAAACTATTAGAACAGTTTTTTCACATTTTAGAAGGGGGTGCCCTTTTAAAACTATGGACAGTCTTGAGGCACCCCATTTTAGAATAGGGTTCCTAAAGACTGTGCATAATTTTAAAGGGTGCCTCAGGACTGTCCATAATTTTAAGGGTGCCTTGACTGAAAAAAAGGTTGAGAAACACTGATCCAGACACAGTTCTTCTTTATTGCTAGGGATGTGGATACAGGTAACCTGCCTGGGAATGTCTGTAGGTGAAGTGCTCCTGGCTGAACAATGAAAATACCATGTTTTTAAATTGTGCCTGTTCACATAGGAGCATACTGTAGTTCATGGTGCATTTCAAGTAAACTGGCTGGAGTAGCCCTACAGGCAGTGGAACTACTGCACACCGGATACCAAGGCAGGACAGGACAGGCTTTATGTTTCTTTCTGTTATTTAGCACAATGATTTCTTTCTAGTGGTTTTGTGTAAGGAACACTATTTTTTGGTCCAGTCAGCTGTGGGCCAAGTCATTTACCACTCCGCAGCACAGTAAACAAAGGGATGGGATGCTGGTGATGATAAACATTTATGATAATAAATGTTTGCTTTTGGTTTTATTACCACTTTAGTTTTTATTTGCAACTTACATGGTGCAACATTTTCTCTATCAACTCACATGGTACAACACTAATGCGAATCACGTTTTACTAGTAAAGTATTCTGGTATTTGCTGTAGTGTCAAATGATAACAAGTACAATTTCTAAAGCGCTCAAAGTTGTACCTATTTGCCAATTCATATTAGTGTGCTCCTGCCAGTGCCTCTGGCATTATGTTTCACATGTTGTATTCCAGTAGATGAAACACAGGTGGAAACTAGACAGCAGTACTGATTCCTCCTTGTCCACATGAAAGATGAAGAGCAACAAGGCTTCATTTGCCAGAGCAAAGTACAGTCCTGAACCACGATTCCGTATCTTCTGCCCAGGAGCACAGGGATTCAGAATTACAGCAGCCTTCCTCTCATTACATTTAAATAATTCAGCTATTTCTTTCTGCCATCTCTGAAAAGTGAATTTACATTATGACCAAGCCCCCAGCAAAAAAAAAAAAAAAAAAAATGTGTGATTCTACACCTTGCATCTTTCTTGAGAGAATTATCAGCTGTGTACTTGTCAAGAGCTCTTGCTTGTTGTAGAAAATGAACAGTAAATGTCTGAGATCAAAATTCTTTTTTTTTTTTTACAAACAAGTAGTTGTTTTGTTATAAAAACATCCATAATCTGAAAATCTTACATTGCAAATACCCATATTTCCTTTTTCTTAATTAAAGTAGAAGTTCAGCCTATTCCTAACTAAGTTTAAAGCGGAACTACACTGTATGTGAGCACCACAAACCAAAAGCGCT